GACTTGATGGTTATTTTAAAGTCTGTAAAATTGAAAGAGAGGAAAATTTCCTACATTTAAATCAATTGCAACAAATGGTTTAAAACTCAAAATCGTGAAGTTAATCCAAGCTAAGGTTCTAATAATAGTGGTGAATTGGATTTTTATAAATTAAATAATTCAACTTTAAAGAAATTATGTTTAGGTTTAGGTTTTTCAAGATCAAGTAGTAATAGGAGAATGGTTATATCAATTTGTGGTATAGAGAGGTTACATTTTAGTTAAAATTTATTTTTTATCCACAAGTCCTGTATTTAACTACTAATCGTCTTTTTTAAGCTCAATCATATATATATATATTAATGCTCTACATTCTCATATTCATAAAATTGATAAAATATATTAAATAAAGATATTACAAATAAAACATAGTCTTTTCTTATTTTATATATTTTTTTTTTTTTTTTTTACTTTTTTTTTTATAATTTTTATATAATTTTTTATTATAAATTTATATTTCATGTTCATTATTATATAACAAATAATTATAAATAAAATAATATATCTTATGTATAATAAAAATAATAAATAAAATATTTACAAGCTATAATAGATTTTATTTCTCTAAAATTTTTATTATTACTATTTTTTTTATTTTTTTAATTAATCAAAAATAATACACCTGATACACAAATTAACACTACAAATAATTATATATATACTGTGTGTTTTTTATAAATTTCGATAAAGGTAAAACCAGTTTGTTGACTGAGCTGAGTAATACTTCAATTATTGAGTGTAAAACTATATTTTCAAATTTTCAATAACAGATTTAATAGATTTTTCAGAAATAATAAAACTAGCTATATTTCCTTGGCTATTGGGGGTTTGTTAAATTGTGCCATTAAACAATACCATTTGAGCCCAATCTACCATGCTTGTAAAAAACCAACACTTAGAGTAAAGGGTAAAGCAAATTCAATCATAGTTAAACCAATCTATAATAATAAAATATTCTTTTAAAAATCAATATAAATAATAATTAAAATTTTTAAAATTTAATATATTTTAAAAAATAAAGAAAAATAAATTATTTAATAAAAAAAAAAAATTATTTATTTATTTGTATATTTTTAATGTTTTAGAATTTATAATATTATTATTAAAGTTTGTTCTGCAACACCATTTGTACTACTTGACTAACTGCATATAAAAACTTCGTCTTTGACGTGCACTAAAGGTTCACTTTCTGATTAATTACTTTTGGCTGGAATGAATGATTTAATAGTACAAGTTTCCCAATTACTTGTGTTTGATGAATCACTTTCGATAATAACAAATTCTACAATAACCCAAATAGCACAAAAATTTTGAAATTCCATACACATTCGAGATATAATATTTTTTTTTGATTGAAATATAAAGAAAAGAAAAGAAAAAAAAAATTTTTATATTGTAAAACAAGAAAGCACCTTTTTTAATTGAGAAACTGTTTTCTTTTTAAAATTTGAAATTTCTTATATTGATGAAAGTTTTACTAAATTTGGTTGATTATAAGGTAATCAGTATAAAAGTTAAGTTCGTAATTTATATTATTTTTCAAATTTAAAATTTTTTTATTTTTTTTTTTTTTAATTTAAAATTGTTTTTTAATTTTATTAAATTTTTTTTAAAGTCTTTTTAAATTTTTTTTTTTTTTTTTAATTAAAAATAATAACTTTCACACACTATTTTTACATATTATATTGCTTATTTTTTTTCATACACTTCAATCAACTTCACACATAGAATTATAATTATTATATCATATTATTTGTTTGTTTTTTTTTTGTAAATAAAAATATATTTTTGTTTGTATATTAAAAGAAATTATTTTTTTATATTATTTTATTATTTTATTGTTTTTTTTGTTAATAAATTTATATTATTTGTTTGTATATAATATTAAAAAAAAAAAAAAAAAAAAAAATTATATTTTTAAATAATATTTTGTAAATATAAAAAAAGGTGTAATATTGGAATTAGTTTTTTTGTTTTGTTCATTTTTTATTGGTTTTTTAGAAAAACCATTAATAACATTGCCAAAAACTATATAAACAACACCCCCAAAAAATACTACCCAGGATGGGAACAACCCAATACGACCAAAACTTTTTTCTATGACGATGGAATTTTATGAAAAGTTCCATAAAATAAACAACCCACCACAAAATACACAATCTCAACCACAAAAAAACCAACAATCACAATCAAATCAACAACCAAGACCAACAACCAACAACCAAGACCAACAATCACAACCAAATCAACAACCAACAATCAACAACCAACAACCCCAACCCCAAACATACCCACATCCACAACCAATAACCCACAACACCCAACAATCACAACAATATCCACCTCCACAACCAATAACCCACAACAACAACAACAACATAAATTACAACCAAACACCACACAATATTCCACAACCAAAAAGCTCTCCATCAATCCCAGATTATAAAAAACTATTTCGAGCGATGGATGAATATGAAAAAGAACAACAACAACTCGAGCAACCACAACCACCACAACCACCACAACCAAATCCAATCCCAATCCCAAACCTAATCCCAACGGAAATTAACTCAGGGGCAGTTACTATTCCACAACCATCACCAGAGGATGAAGCTAAAAGACGTTTAAATGAACGTTTGGATCTCTACGAATTAGAACATAGTAGGGACATCCCAGAAGATGGCAATTGTCAGATGCATGCATTATCTGACCAACTATATGGCAACTTGAACCATAGTTCAGAAATTAGAAGAGTCATTGCCACATGGCTTATTAGAAATAAAAATTTCACCCTTCCAAATGGTGCCAAATTATCCCAATTTGCCAATACCACAAATTGGAACAGATATTGCAACCGAATGGCAAGAAGTGGTACTTGGGGTGATCATTTAACATTACTCGCAGCTGCTGAAATTTTAAAATCACAAATAACCGTAATTTCATCAGTCGAATCTGATAGCAGCGCTTACATTGAAATTATTCCAAGTTCAATTGAAAATAATAGAGCAATTGTTTTATCTCACCTTGCAGAAAATCACTATGGTTCATTACGTCAAAGAGTATAGATAATAAAGTATAGTTCAAGATAAAAAATAATTCGACGTATTATTATTACATTAAAGGTAAATAATTATAATTTCTATTTTTTATTATTTTTTAATAATTTATTAATTCATTTATTTAATACCATAGATTCCGCTGTTGCTATGGCATTGGTCTATTAAATTTCGGTATTAGTAGAACTAATCAATAATTTATAGACAGAAAATGGTATGTAAAATTATATTATTTTTAAAAATTAATTTTAAACATATATTAATAATAATCATCATTAGTCATTTATTAGAAATATAAGAAGCATCTAAAAAACAATTGCCCAAACGTATTTAAAAGTCTAATGCAAATTCAATAAAAGGTCCAAATGGTAGTTCAAGTAATGGGTCAAATGGTGGTTCGAGTGTGGTTCAAATGGTAGTTTACATCGTAATTCAAATGGAATAAGTAATCAGTCAATTTGTGGTTCAAGTGGTAGCTCTTATGGTAATTCAAATGTTGGTTAAATTAATCGGTCAAATGATGGGTCAATAAGTGTTCAGGTGGTAGATCGCGTAATTCAAATGTTGGTACAAGCAATGTTTCATGTAGTGGTACAAGCAATAAGACAAATGGTTGTTCAAATGTGGTTCAAATGGTAGTAAACATGGTAATTCAAATGGAACAAGTAATCGGTCAAGTAATGGTTCAAACGGTATTTTAAATGTTGGTTTAAATAATAAGTCAAATGGTGGGTCAATAAGTGGTTCAAATGGTAGTTAAAGTAATCGGTCAAATGGTGGTCCAGGCAATATTTTAAATGTAGTACCTCAACAGTTTTATAGTGAATTAAATATAAATAGATTTATATTTATTGATAGCTGTTGCCCTGTAGTATTTTCCTTTATAGTAAATATCATAACTTAGGTAAGTTATCTTTATTTATATTTTTATTTTATATTAAACTAAATATTAATATTCTTTATATTTTATTTTTTGTTTTTAATAAATTATTTTTTAGAAAGGCTGTAATAACAATTCAGCATAGTCGTTTTATTTTGCCAATAATCTCAGCTTTTTTAGATTTTTTTAAAAAATTTTTTTATTTTATTTTTTTCTTTTTTTTTAAAAAAAATTTTAAATTTTTTCATTTTATTTTTTGCACTTCTCAAAAAATACACATAAATATTTCAAAAAAATGAAAGGTCAATAATAGCTTTAAAAATCCTTCAAGTAAGTAAATAAGCACATTATTTTAAATAACCAATCTATATAAAAATGGGATTCGTTGAAGAAATAAGGAATATATGAACACAATACTAACACAAATTAATTTTATATTTAGTGAAGATCAAGTAATATCGAGTATGGTAACCTATTTCATTTAGTGGTAAATGCAGAGCCTGATTCGAGAAGTGTATAATATATTGGTATCTTAGAATCAGTTGCATCAAGTGTAGAACCCAATTTTTCAAGTAGTGCTTAAGAATCTTTTACACCAGATAGTGAATATTAATTTATCAAAGGTAGAAGTACCGAATATGTTTCATCAAGCTGTTTATACTCTGGACAAAGTAGTAGAGTTTATTATATCGGATAGTGTAGAATTTTGTTTCTTTTTTGATAAAGTTGTATCAAGTGGTATATTCCCAACTCATCAAATAATTTGTGACCTTTTCCGTCAAGTTGTGCGATATCTGTTGTATTTTTAGTATCTGTGGTCGTAATGCAAAGCCTGTCATCAAATATTAGAGTAGAATCTGTTGCACTAGGTTGTAGCTGTTCTTTAAATTTTGTGTTGGTTATTTCATTATGTAGTGGTAATGCATAACATTTTTCATCAAAAAGAACTTGGGAATAATTTATAAGGAAGTTTCGTAAATCGTGTGTGTTTCTATAAACCTCAATTAGTGTAGAATTCGAACCAGGTACTGTAGAATATAATTAATCAAATAATGGTGGTTTAGACTCTGAATGAAACTTAGAACCAACTATCAAGTCAGCACTATTGAAGCTAATCAATCTAATCAACTATTTTATGAATATCATTAATTTGCTCTGGCCAAGCAACTGTGATAGAAATAAAATAGTTTTGAAAAGAGAAGGTAAAAAACACAGAAGCTTTCAAAACCATTGATCAAATTAGGGAATATCAAAACTCACTACTTCAAGAAGTCCATTAAACTTTAATGTTTATTCACCATCAAAATAACAACAGCAACAATTTATAGATTTAAATCAACTATTAGAGCAATCAAGGATTATGAAAAACCTCACCCTCCATTAACTGGTAAAAAAGATCCAGGCACAATTAGACCAATCAATATTTTATAAATCAAATTAATTATAATAAAAAAAATAAAAATTTTTTGAAAATAAGAAATTTTTTTATTAAATAATAAAAAAAGTGATTGTTAAATCACTAATATATGATGTTTTATAAACCATTTATTTTTTTACATTTATAGATGAAGAATTTGAGAACTAAAATAATGTTATAATCTTAACATAGAATTATTTTTTTTATTTAATTTTTTGTTCGAAGTACTTTGTTATTTTATTAATATATTATTAATATATTATTAATATATTATTTAAGACTTGTTGGTGATGTAACTAAGTTCTATTATTTATAATATCTTTATTTGTAAATTCTGTTTGAATTTCTTTTTCTTTGGCAGAATAAAAATCTCTGGCTATTTTGATGTTTAATGTGATATTTACTTCAATTAGTTCACCTGGTTCGGCAGAATAAATTTTGAATGGTGAAAATTTGTTATGGGAGCTATCTAATGCAAAAATCCAGAAGTCCAAGTTATACATGGGATAAACATCTGCTGATTTTTCATTCGCTAATAGACTTGACGAGAGCTCTTCTATACCATCCCTTGTCAGTCTTATAAGAGTATAACATAGAAACTTTTAACATTTTTTTAAACTTTTTTTTAACGAATGAAAAATCAGCAGATGTTTTGCCCACATATAACTTAGCCTTCTGGAGTTATGCAAAAGATAGTTCCCATAATAAATATTCACCGTTCAAATCGAACTGACTGCTAAAATGGGATACCATTATTTGAAGTAAAAATATCAGTTATAACACCCAATTGACCTGAAATTTGTTTAACTTTGATAATTTTCTTTACATCTTCAACATTTACATTACTACAGACCGATTAAATAAAAATAATTTGTTAATATATATTTAAAGGGTAAAAAATATAAAAAAACTTTTATAATTACCTTTTGGAGGAGTTTATTCATAATAGAATAAAATGTTTTTATTTAATTTTATATTAAAAATAATTCTACATTTTCTTTTGGTTTTGTTGACAAAAAAATACTTATTTTAAAACAAATGAAACCAAAAATAAAAAAAATTAAAAAAAAAAAAAAAAAAAAAATTTTAAAAAAATTTTATAAAATTATTTATTTAATAATTTTACTTAAAAAAAAATAAAAAAAAAATAAAAAAAAAATTATGATCAAAGTAAAATTATTAAAGATTTACATTTATTCCATATTTTAATTAATTTTGTTTTATTTGGAAGGAATTTGGGTATTATCTTTATCCCTACCTTCGACTATAGATCAGAAATTAAATGATATTTATCCTAAACAATCATAAATCAATAAAAATTAGGATTTTACCATCTAAAATTTATGCTTTCAAAGAAATAATAAAAAAAATAAAAATTTTTTTTTTTTTTTTTAATTTTTTTTTAATTTTTTTTATTTTTTAATAAATTATTTAGGAAAATAATACTCCACAAATTTTAATAAAAACAATAATTATTATTATTATAATTATAAATAAATAATAGTAATACAATAATAAAATGAAAAATAATAATAATAATAATAATAATAATAATAATAATAATAATAATAATAATAATTTAGATAATATAGATAGCTTTTCAAAATTATTTTATAAAGTTTTTCATAACAAATATTTATTTAATTTAATAATTCAAAGTATTCATAAAAATGTATGGGTTAGATATGGTTGTTATAGACAGTATAATTTTAACAACAGAAGAAGGTTTAAAGATATAATATCATTGGATTGGATAGTAAAAAGGAAACTATTTGCCCTACTTAAATGTAAATTAGAGGCAAATGAATACATTCTAACAGATACAAA